GTTAGGGTTAGACTGCGTTAGGGTTAGACTGCGTTAGGGTTAGACTGTGTTAGGGTTAGACTGCGGCATTTCCATCTTTATGCATGTATTTAGGAGCAGAACTACTATAAACCCAGGTACACTCGGGGGGTCTTGGTAGAATTTAGAGGCCTTTTTATTAAATAGTTGATGTAAGTAAATTAGTTGCTGTGCATTGACAGAATGTTTCAGCCATGGTGTAGACATGTTTCATATATCTGGGCATCATAAGGATTAGGTCGTCTTATGCAGCTGACATAGCACAGGTTAGGGATGACTGTGAAATACTGAACCTTTCAGCTAACTCTTCTGAAAGTCTGTTTCCAAGGAATCCCAGTGTAGTAAAAATATGAACTGGCACAAGGCTTCTCCTAGTTTCCCTCTGTATGGCTGGAGCAAGCTTGGCACGGAGTTCCTAAAGAATGACCCTGGAACTGTAAATGAGATTAAAAGTCAGGCATCACCGTGTTCCAGCAGGTCAGTGTGATCTCCAATACCACGCTTCCACCCAACTCTTCTATCGGTGATGTCCTCCTACACGTATATTTGCACAAACTTTCATGCAATGTTTATTTTAAACATCTCAACATGTGTGGAACATGTCACATGCAACCTTTTTGTTGTTGATGCATGAGGTCCCTGATTTTTAACTGGAATTAGTCAGATCTAACCTCATGTACAAAAACACACAACAAATTCCACCGTCTTTATTTAATATTAAATTAAAATGCAGCCAAAATTAAAATGTGCGTGAAAAACCTAAGTGCACCCCATGACTGAACAGCTTGTAGAATCACTCTTGGTGGCAATAACTCTCAGTAGATTTTTAATTTATTTTATTTTTTTGTCTAGCTTTTTGAGTCTCTCACATGGTTGTGGAGAAATCTTGACCCACTTTCTTTTAAACCTTTGCTTCTGTTCGTTGAGGTTTGCAGATATTTATTTCAGCACAGCTCTCTAATAAAGTAGTATCTCACAGGCTGTGGCTGTTGTTATTAGTGACTCACTGTTGTGAAAAAATTGGCATGTTTTCTCTTGTAGTCTCTCTGAATTCTGACCAAGTGACCAGAAAGTTGTGCAGCCTATTTTTGAAAATCAGTCTATATTTGTGTGCACAACATTCAAAATTATATTATAGGCATTTCACATTTTATTGTTTTATTACCCACCTTCAACCACATCACACTAGAGATGTCATTTCTAACTCAAACCCGGAGCCCGGCCCCGCCTGACTTGGATTCGGACTGGGCCGGGCCGTAATATGTGGGCCTGGTTAGTGTCGGGCTTTTTTATTGCGTCAGGGACGTGCGTGGCCGACGATCCTATATGTGCAAACATGGCTTACCATATTACATCTGCTGCACATGGCCATTTGACCGCACACTGACTCGCTAGTTGAAAGATGTAAAAAGTTCAGTTAAGCTTCAGATGGATTACTGCCAGCGATCCATCAGCTCAAATGGACGTTCATTCAGCCGGTGCACTCAGCGGATGCACGCAGCCGACGACCCTAACAGGTGAGATCACAAAATAGCCGACATGTCAGCGCAGGATGCAGGCAGAAGCAGCATTTAATGCGCTTTGAGGGCTCCTCAGCTCCGATCTTCTGCTCCCTCAGCTGCGCGCATCCACCAACCGTTAATAATAATCGATGATATAAGCAGTCAAAGCTTAATTAAAAATATTGGGTTTTTTTTCCCGGGTTCAGACCTGTAATTATTGTTAATTCGTCGGCTTGGGTGGGGTTTGGAGATGATGGCTGTGGGCTGGGGTCGGGTTAGTTCGGAATATTGGGACCCGAATGCAACTCTACATCATACCCACCTGGGCTCGCTTTGTACCCACCTTAGCAGCCACCCCCACATTTATAATTTACTCTACTAGAATCCACTTTGAAAATTGGTACATTATGGCCAACATGAACCACATGAACCAGCTTCAATGAGAAAAGCAGATTTGGACCAGTTTTTAGTAATTAATATTTGTCAGTGGTGTGCTTTTTGGACCTGGACATATTTTCTGTCAAAAGAAAGTTACCATGTAGATGTCCAAATTAGAGCCCGACCGATGTATCGGAGGGCCCCCCAATATTTTAGGCCAATGTAGACGTTTGGGGACATATCGGTGAAAATTAACCCATTATGCACCGATATAATTTTCACCCCTAAAATGCTGGGAATGAGCCATGCTCTTGCTTGTAAATGGCATAATTATACAACGTATCCAGCAGAGGGTGCATGTGGACTACTCTACTTTCACGTCTTGGCCATGCCACTTGGCTCCCAGCACAGCTGAAGCAAGGAACTAAATATTGTGTAGCATATTTTGATGAACCGAGCATGGTAAGTATATTGTAAATGATCTGTAAAATAAATAAAAAAAATCAACAATAATAAATTCTCTTCAATCCTCCAACCCGCTTGTCATTAGCTACGTGCTTCTAAGTTAGCAAGCTAACATTTAGCATAGGCTATTGTCTTGTAACACTTATCTTCTAAATGTCTACTTTTCTACAAAGAAAAAAAAAAACGCTGCTGCGATCAATACTAATTAGACCTTCACCATATGTGACAGACTGTTTAAACCATGAATAGGAAGGGCGTTTCTTTAATTTATATTTTTATAACACACTTGATACCTTTGTTTATTAAATGTGAACGCATGTTAGGAAAATGGTTTCAAGACTTCAAGCATTGAAACGGGTTTAAAAGTAGCTCTTTATTTAGATTATTGGGGATGGATAAAGCAAAAAAAATGTTCAGCCATTATATCTGTTATCGGCATTAGCTTTCCTCGCCCAATTATCGGTATCGGCGATAGCCAAAATTTCGATATCAGCCAGGGTTCTAGTCCAAATACAGTACAATATGCTTTTGAGACAGATGGAGACAAAATCAAAGATGGTTTATTTGTGACAATTAGAAGTGACAATATTTTTTTCTTAAGATAGTCAAACATTTTTAACTTGTTTAAAATTTAGGTGACAAGATTTAGAGTCTCTACAGCTGAAGAGAGGTAATTGTGAACAACATTTCGAGACTTTCTGGAAACTCTTGCAAATGGTGTTTGCCAACAAGTTTCCTGCAGCCACAGCCCAGTGAGATACTTTCCTCTGAGATACTTTAAGTCGTTCATTTGTAGACTTGCTGCTGTGCTTTGAATCATTGTCTGTTGCATTGTGACCCAGTCTGGTTCAAACTTTAGCTGTAAAACAGCCTTATGTTTGTATTTAGAATAGTTTGGACTACATAGGTGACTCAGTGACTGTATGAATGATTAGTTATGATGTGTCCAAGTCCTGTGGCTCTAAAACAAGCCCACCTCATCACCCCTACTGTGTCTGACTGTTTATATGCAGTGTTTGTTCTAATGTGTTGTGTAGTTTTCTTCAAGCACCGTACAGGGAATTATGGCTAAACGGCTCCACTTAGGACACATCTGTTCAAAGGACATTGTTACTGAGGTGTTTTGGTCCATTCAGATGCAACTTTACAAACCTAAGTCCTTTTTTGAGATAAAAGCTTTCTGCTGGAAACCCTTCCAAACAAGCCATACGTGTTCAGTCCTTTTCTAACTAAACTGTCCCGAACTTAACACTTAACATGCTACGTGAGGCTTACAGAGCCATCAGAGTTGGAGCTCTTGGGTTTTTGTAATTACGCTGAACTTTACTCAGTCTGACCTTTGCATGAATTTGCTGGGTTGTCCACTCCTGGGGAAACTGACAAATGTCTTAGAAGTTTTCCACGTGTGAAAAATATTTCTCAGGTTAGAACAATGAACTCCAAACTGTTTGGAAATGGTCCATACAATAGTTGGTCATTGCAGATGTTTTCCCTCCTCGGCATTGTGTTAACACACACCTGTATACACTAAAGCAGCAAACTGCTTTTTAGAGGTGGTCACTCTGATCAGTTAATCAATACATCTGATTAGCGGCACCTGGCTGCTAAGTTCCCTCAAATCTTATGGAAGCAACAAGGTTGGACTTTTTTTTTTTTTTTCAGTTGTTCAACTTTGGCTTTGGTTTTGTTTAATAAGTCATGACATGGTGGATTTTTGTGTGTTATACACTTAAGGTTAGATTTTTAATATTTTAGAGCATTGTAATAGATAAACCTTAGAATTGAAAGACGGGGGACTTTTTTATTTTCTATGATGTAAATATGTCACGATGCTACCTGGCTGCACACTAAGAAACCTGCATGAAGCATCAGTGTGATTTGCTGTGCATCATTAGTTTGCATTTTCTCTTGCACATGATCATCTTAGGACTTTATTGTAGTTCTAAATATCAAATCTCATCTGCAGGGGTGGTCAGTTTCATTTCTTGGACTGAAACTATTTAACTTTTTCAATTAATTTTATAAGCCACATCATTCAAGCTCACGTTAAGTGAAACGGGCCGTGTCAAATTCTTAACAAGTTGATATATTTGAACTGAAAGTGATGTTGCACTTGGTCATGTGCTGTTTGGTCAACGTTTATGGTAAATCTTTGGTATGTTTTGGTGAAAACGGTACAATAATTTTATTTTCTGTCAACTACCTCATCGACTTAATGATCTGTTAAAAACGTGCAACATCGTAGTGCTTGAATAAAGCTGGTTAACGACATGTTTGTCTCTGTGCAATCTTTCAGGAGATTATGCTGGGTTTCCAGGCTGCGGCCTTTTGCGCCTGCACAGCACCTACCGCCACGATCTGAAGATCTACGCTTCTGATGAAGGCAGGGTGCAGATGACTGCTGCAGCGTTTGCCAAGGTGACTCCATCAGAAACTGTGACAGATAAAAAATAAACCTCTGATAGGTCTCCAAGACATTAAAGCTGGATGTTCAATACATTTTTCTAACTTGGTTTTTATTTTTGTTTTATTTTCTATATTTCAGTAGTGGATATATGTGCAGTTGGGAATTTATTGTCTTCAGGATCAATTGAAACACTTTGCAGTCAAGAGTTTCCATATTGCAATAAACAACATCTGTGTAACTGTGTGGTATTTTACCTTTGAAGCTACTGCAAATGAGCTCAAATTAAGATTAAACTATCTCTTAAATTCAAAAGAAAACAGCATAGATATTCAAAACTTCATTTGTTTAAAAGCATATGATTCAGAGTTGGATTGTATTAGCTTTTATTTCAATTAATTTTTCAGTGTGTTTTCCAGAATCTTACAACGAAAGCTTCTGCTTGGTCTCTCTGGTTCCTCTGCAGGGTCTGTTGGCTTTGGAGGGTGAACTGACACCCATCCTGGTTCAGATGGTAAAGAGTGCCAACATGAATGGATTGCTGGACAGTGACAGTGACTCTCTGACTGACTGTCAGCAGAGGGTGAAGGCCAGGCTACATGAGATCATGCAGAAGGACCAAGAGTTTACACAGGAGGACTATCAGAAGGTGTGTGTGAAATGAATGTTTGAATGACTTTATTTCATAAAACAAATTAAGTAAACGAGCAAGTTAAACAGTTGAACGTGCCTTTTTAGGCTCCATTTGTATTTACGTTTCTTATCTAAAAACAAGCAAAGTGTTTCACATGCTCGTAAGTTGGCAGATAAGTCCTTCTTGGTTTTGTTCGTTGACATGTCTCCAATGTTCTCCAGCTGGCTCCAACAGGCAGCCCATCACTGGTGAACTCCATGAAGGTGATAGAAAATCCAGTCAAAACTTGTGACAAGGTTTACGCGCTCATCCAGCGTCTCACCTCACAGATTCGAAAGAGACTGGAGGACCCAAAGTCGGCAGGTTGGCGATTCTTGGTGCTCTTTTAAAAAGACTCCAGTATGTAATTAGTTCCCCATAAATAAACCACAAAGATGGTTCAAATGTTGATTGGTCATCCTTCAGATCTACAGCTTTACCACAGTGAGACGTTGGAGCTGATGCTACAGCGCTGGTCCAAGCTGGAGAGAGACTTCCGCATGAAGAACGGACGCTACGACATCAGCAAGATCCCAGATATTTATGACTGCATCAAATATGATTCTCAGCATAACGCCTCGCTCAGCCTGGAGGACACGTTGGAGCTGTTCAGGCTGTCCCGTGCTCTGGCTGACATAGTCATCCCACAGGTTAGGCCTGACCCACGTCATCAATTTCTGTCTTTAGCTCTGTGTTCCTGAGACCATGAATTAAAAGGTTAACCAATAGGTATTGATAGAAGGAAAGTAAAAACCTGCACAATGCAATTGGACTGGTAGGGCAACCATATATAAACACCCTGGACTGGTCGCAAGTCCATCACAAGTCCATATCGAGACGAGAGACAAACAAGCATTCACACTCCTGTTCACATCCAGGGACTATTTAATGTTACCAATGGACCTAACATGAACTTTTTTTTGGTCTGTGGGAGAAAACCAACAAATGAGGGGAACATGCAAACTCCACACAGAAAGCTCAGGAGGCTTTTCTGCAGCTTTCTTGCTCTGAGGTGACGGCACTAATGACTGCTCGGCCATGTCTTCTACTTTACTGACATGACAGTTATAATAAGATGTTTGCTTAAATACTAATTAAAGTCGTTTTTTGTTAGGTGATAATTCGTTTCTTTTTTTTTTTACATAAGATCATAGATATTGTTTATCAATAAACGGTTTATGTTTGGCAGCGTGACGGTTTAGGGGTTAGCATAGTTGCCTCACATCAAGAAGATCGTAGATTTTCTGTGTGGAGTTTATGTTGGATTTCTCTGGGTAGTCCGGTTTCCTCCCACAGTACAAAAACATGCATGTTCGGCTGCCTTCAGGCCCAGGCCTCCCTTGCAAAAGAGATATGTGATCTCACTGGCATTTGCCTGGTTAAATAAAGGTTAGTAATAAAAATAATCTTTTTTCGGCTTTTCCCTCTTCAGGGGTCGCCACAGCGAGTCATCCTCCTCCATCTCACTCTGTCCTCACTCCAACTAATAATAAGTAAATGTATATAAACAGTAAACTGTTGTAGTTATGAGCTAAAACCAGCAGAATCTACAAACAAAAAATGACTTTACATATTGTCCCTCATTTGATCTAATGGTCTGCAACAGCCATTTAAAAATCCTAACTAATCAATGTCTGCTGTGTTATTTAGTGAATCTTTAATATCCCTGAAACTAGATTTTATTTCTTTAAAGCGGATCATTAAAGAAAAGTAAAATACGTTAGTTTTATTACTGACAGGGCTTTATTTGTTCTTTTGCATCAGGAGTACGGCATCAGTAAAGCAGAGAAACTGGACATCGCTCAGGCTTACTGTGTTCCTCTGATGGGGAAAATCCAGCTAGACCTTCAGAGGACTCACGAGGATGAGGCTGTCAACAAGCTGCACCCCCTGTGAGAACACACAAACGCTATGTGTACCGTTAGTTGTATGTTAATCAGTAAGCTGTCTAATCACTTCCTGTTCCCTGGTGTTCAGGTATTCTCGTGGAGTCATGTCTCCTGGGCGTCATGTCCGCACACGGCTCTACTTTACGAGTGAGAGCCACGTTCACTCCCTGCTCAGCATGTTCCGCTACGGAGGACTTCTGAATGTGTGTACTGTTTTTGTTATTTTTGTGTGTGTGTGACCTATGATGTTGATTTTCTGGGACTAAACAGGACCTGGACTTCCTGATGCTCAAGTCATCCGTTTGTGTGTTTGTGTCAGGAGGAGAAGGACCAGCAGTGGAAACAAGCCATGGATTACCTGAGCGCTGTGACTGAGCTCAACTACATGACTCAGATAGTCATCATGCTGTATGAAGACAACGATAAGGTCAGCCTCCTGAGTGCTGCACAACGTTCCTACAGGTTGACGGGTTTTTCCACGGTTGCTTTGCTGTGTGTTTGTGCGCATGTGGGGTGAAGGACCCCTCCTCAGAGGAGCGTTTCCATGTAGAGCTTCACTTCAGTCCAGGAGTCAAAGGGTGTGAAGATGAAGAGAACGTGCCTCTTGGATTTGGTTTCCGCCCTGCTTCATCAGAGGTGGGTGAACTGGTTCGATTTTACTGGTACACACATACATGAGGGAGTTTTAACAACGTCTTACCATCTTTAAAGAACTTCATATTCATCTTTTGTTAAAACACATTCTGAATATCAGTTAGTTTCGCCCCGACCTGCATTCATATCTGTTGCTAGAGAGTGCTGAGTTAGCCAGAGCAAGAAAACCGTTAAGTGAAATTTGAGTTATTTTTAACTTAAACAAATCTGAACACTAAACGGTACATTATCTTTATATAAATATATTTGTTTCTTTTTTAGCTCAGTGCATTTCCTTAATCTAAAATGAGAACCACTTTTTAAAACGCCATGAGAATCAGTGGGAAGGTGCAATCCTTGACTTGAGACTGGTCAGGTACTGCAAAAACAAATGGAAACATTAAAAAACATTTATTTTGAAACGTTGTTCACCCTCTTTTTTTTTTTTTCCCCCCCATACAAATTCAGTTGTTGCTTGTTTTGTCAAAAATTTGCCTTTTAATAGGCATTCATCATATTGTTAATAAATCACATTTGGTCAAATGACTAATTTAGGACTTTTGAATCGATTATGACTTTGATTTGAATCAAAACCTGCATTTTTTAATTTTGGGCTTGAACTTGAGTGGAAAGACTTGAGACTTGCAAAATAATGTTTTGGTCCTACCGCTATCTACAACAGGTAAGATATTATTTCTTCATACCTTTTAGTTTTTGTCCTTTTAGGTTTATTTTAGTAAATTATGGTGAAAGAGTTTGTCAAATAAGACTGAGAGGTTGTTTTGTTCTTTCTTTAATCGATCAGAATGAAGACAAGAAGCCCAATCAGGGCAGTTTGGAGGACCTTTCCCAGGACCAGACCGATGAGGCTCTCTTTGCTTCAGAGCCAATTAACATCCAGAGAAAGTCTCCAATGATCCGCAATCGGAAGGCAGGCTCCATGGAGGTACCATCCTGTAGTTTTACATTAGACTAGATGTTTCACTAATAATTAAGGATTATGGCGGGAAATTTACCATAATTTCTGGACTATAAGCCGCTACTTGTATAAATTGACTACCTGTATAAATAAAGGTTAAATAAATCTGACCAATAAAATTAACAAACCGGTCACAGTGGACCAATGAAGCGGGGAGGGGAGGAGAGAATGGGGTGTGGGGGGGAGGCCCCCGCTTGCCCCTCCCTGTTTCAAAAGGCATTTGTGTGATGGAGGAGCATGCACATGAGGAAGGTGAAGATGGCGATCAATGACTTCCTGGTAGGCTGCTGTATTTTTAATTTTTTTTTTACCAGCCGTGCTACAGGCACTGTTTCGGGGGGGGGGGACTGTACGTATTTAATTAAAACAACAAAGTCCATGCTCACTAATCCAGGTATACAATCTAACATTTTTCAGTCAGGTCATCTGGACAGTTTCTTTTTTTGTGCTGAAACGTTTTGCCTTCGATCCAGCCGGCCGGCAATGGAGGAGTGGGCGTTCTAAAGAGACCATCTTAGCACCAACAGAACTGGTTTGTTCCACTTTGGAGTAAGCTGTTGAGGGAAGAATCAGTTTTGTTGTGCGTTTCCTTGACTGGTGAAGCCTTCCGGATTGAAGGCGAAACGTTTCAGCACAAAAAAAAGAAACTGTCCAGATGACCTGACTGAAAAATGTTGGCTATTTAATTAAACGTTTTTACAATCTTTCTATGCAAATATCTCATGTTATAACATGTTATAACATGACACCCACGGCGTACAGTATATACAAGCGCAGCCTGTACATGTACAAATTTATTTTTTAATTTGTGGGCGTGGCTTATATTCGGGTGCGCTCAATAGTCCGGAAATTACGGTATACTCGTTGCCTCAGAATTAAGCAGTTGCTCCTTTTTGTTTTTATTTAACATTAAAAGTTTAGATTTTTAATTAACGGGAAGGCTTGTACCCCAAATTACTTGAATTAATCATCTTATTTCTAATTCATTCTTCGTGGCTCCTCTCAGGTCCTTTCTGAGACCTCCCCCAATCATTCCACCAAAGGCTGCATGCCCCATCGACTCTTCCATTCTTCTTCGCGCCAGTCTCCTGAGATCAAACCAACGAGCGGCTTAGGTGAGCGCCTCTCGCTTTTTAAAATGTCGTTTAATGTGTTTTTTTTCTTTTATGTTTCTGCCAACAGACACCCTGACCTCTCTTCACATCTACTTTAAGCTATCTTCACTGATACTGCTCCTCATCAAAAGCAGTGCTTGTTTGTTTTAGTCACCTATCTACTTTTTCAAATATCTTTCAATCCCTTCCTTGTTTCTTTTTGTGTGCTGATCTTTCCCTCTTCCTTCCATCACCTCTCCCTCCTCGTTCCAATGTTCGCAGTAGCTTCCAGCTCAGCTTAGCTTTGCAGCAGCCAGACAGGATCAGACCGTAAACTATGCAGGCAAGAGGTCAGCAGGTGGTCACGGCCAACTGCACGACACTGATATTCCCTGTGGTGGTAATATTAATACAGAGCGAGCGTGTTGTATGATCATCTCTGTCTTATTTCTAATCTAAACACAGGAAGTGAATGTCAAAGGCTCGCTGCTAAATAAGAGCTGAAAACATTTAACAAGAAGCTATTGAAGCACATAAGAGTCGACTTTTGATAAGACTCATGTCCCAGTTCTATACAAGAATTAGCATAGCATTGTAAATAGTATTCATTTAAAATGTTTTATTTTAATATAATTTTCTGCTGATGGCTGGGAGGGGGAAAAAGCCTTAATACAGTTTCCTGTGTTGTCGTGCATCAGTTGAAATACTGTAAAACGCATGCAGCCACTTGCCCACTGCACAAAGCTCCGCCCCTTTTTGGGTAAATAAACTGAGTGTTAATTGCAGCTCCTAAAAGGTTTGTGAATAAAATAGACTTTTAGTGCCCAAATATTACGACCTGCTTAGCAAACAATTATAACATGTTGTCCAATCAATAATCATCAACTTTATACAGAAAAACTATTGTTTTTAATTGAAGTTCATCAAATTGGACGAATAACTGCATATAGCCTGATGGTTCATATGCAGTCATAAAGTATTTAATCTGCATATGATAGCATGTTTTGGCCCCTCTTAGTGAACCTTCATAAATAAAATATATATACAGTGAGGAAAATAAGTATTTGAACACTCTGCGACTTTGCAAGTTCTCCTACGTAGAAATCATGGAGGGGTCTGAAATGTTCATCTTAGGTGCATGTCCACTGTGAGAGACACAATCTAAAAAAAAAACATCCGGAAATCACAATGTATGATTTTATAATAATTTATTTATGTGTTACTGCTGCAAATAAGTATTTGAACACCTGTGAACATCAATGTTAATATTTGGTACAGTCGTCTTTGTTTGCAGTTACAGAGGTCAAAGGTTTCCTGTAGTTCACCAGGTTCACTGCAGCAGAGATTTTGTCCATTCCTCCACAGATCTTCTCTAGATCAGTCAGGTTTCTGGGCTGTCGCTGAGAAACACGGAGTTTGATCTTCCTCCAAAGATTTTCTATTAGGGTTCAGGCCTGGAGACTGGCTAGGCCACTCCAGAACCTTGACATGCTTCTTACGGAGCCACTCCTTGGTTCTCCTGGCTGTGTGCTTCAGGTTATTGTCATGTTAGAAGACCCAGGGAAGGAGGTTGTTCCCCAAAATCTCACAACACATGGTCCCGGTCATCCTCTCCTTAATACAGTGCAGTCGTCCTGTCCCGTGTGCTGAAAAACACCCCAAAGCATGATGCTTCCACCCCCATGCTTCACGGTAGGGATGGTGTTTTGGGATGGTACTCATCATTCTTCGTCCTTCAAACACGGCGAGTGGAATTAAGACCAGAAAGTTCTATTTTGGTCTCATCTGACCACAGAACTTTCTCCCATGACTCCTCTGGATCATCCAAATAGTCCTGGTCAAACTTCAGACGGGCCTGGACGTGCGCTGATTTAAGCGGGGGAACCCTCCGTGCCATGCATGATTTTAAACTACGACGTCTTAGTGTATTACCCACAGTAACCATGGAAACAGTGGTGCCAGCTCTCTTCAGGTCATGGACCAGCTCCTCCCGTGTAGTTCTGGGCTGATTCCTCACCTTTCTTAGGATCATTGATACGCCACGAGGTGAGATCTTGCATGGAGCCCCAGTCCGAAGGAGATTGACAGTCATGTTTAGCTTCTTCCATTTTCTAATAGTTGCTCCAACGGTTGATCTTTTCTCACCAAGCTGCTTGGCAACTGCCCTGTAGCTCTTTCCAGCCTTGTGGAGGTCTACAATTTTGTCTCTGGTGTCTTTGGAAGCTCTTTGGTCTTAGCCATGTTAGTAGTTGGAGTCTTACTGATTGTGTGGGGTGGACAGGTGTCTTCATGCAGCTAACAACCTCAAACAGGTGCTTCTGATTTAGAATAATAAGTGGAGGCGGACTAACAGGTCTTTGAGGGCCAGAACTGTTGTTGATTGGCAGCTGTTCAAATACTTATTTGCAGCAGTAACACACAAATAAGTTATTTAAAAATCATACATTGTGATTTCTGGATTTACTTATTTTTTTAGGTTATGTCTCTCACAGTGGACATGCACCTAAGATGAAAATTTCAGACCCCTCCATGATTTCTAAGTGGGAGAACTTGCAAAGTCGCAGGGTGTTCGAATTCTTTTTGGATCTCTGCCTAAATTAACAAACACTTTACAAACATTTTGTCCCCGCCCCACATGAATGTAACTTTTAATAAACCTTTCAAAATGTTCGTATTCACCGATGCGAAAGACCGTTGTCTAATTTAAGACGTGTCAAGGAAAGCATAAAACCACGAACGTGTCAACAGAGAGATGAAACAGTTTCCATCGTGTGTGTTTCATTGGGAAGATGAAGGCTTTAACTGCGGCATTACTCAATGTCACGACATGACATGTGATCTTCTTTTGATCCTCACTTATCTCAGTTATGTCCTTTGGTTTTAAATAAACTAGCATTTATATTTAGCCAGCTACTCTTTATGTACACTCATGACCACGGCTTGATGAAACTATAAAATCTATTAAATTAAATCAAAGGGGCATTACGGCTGTAATGTGTGCCAGTTGTCATGACCTCTCAGAGCTTAAAAAGATCTATAAAACATTTTGAAATGGGGTTTTGTGAAAATGTTATGAATAAATAACATCTTATTTGTTGGAACTATCTTACTTTAGAGGAAAATTAATTTTGTCTAGATTAACAAGCTAAAGAATAGTGTGAGCGTGACTAAGACCAAAGTGGGCTGCTGTCGTTCTAAAACCGTTTTAAATTTTATAGAGCTTCATGTGAATGTTGTCTCCTAGACCACCCCCCAAACGGCCTTAGCTTCTGGCCGAGGCCCCCCTCGCAAACCCAACAATGTTACAAAATATAAAAAGAAACGTCAATTTTTAGAATGTTTTAACTTTTATTCACTGTATTCAATTAATTATTACTGCTGCTGAGCATAAAAACATTTATTAACCAACGTGTTTTAAACATATTCCCACGAAAAAAACAACTTTTCAACAAATTGTTGACCAGAAAAACTAAATAAATCTAACCTCACTCTCAAGCGTGTTTATCTGGAAATGACAGATACAGATTGCCCTAGTGTGCAATTTTTATTATTACTATTTTTTTAATTTTTGCTTTTTTTAAATCGTCTTCTCTCCAGCTTTCCGAGACCCCTCTTGCGCCCCCTGGTGGCCCCCCCAGGGGGCCGCGGCCCCCCACTTTGAGAAACACTGTCTTTTTGTATTGCTGTCAATTTTTCATTACATGGTTGAATACATCACATATAGATCATGACTTTTGGTTTAGTTGGACCCAACTCGGGGAGCTTAAAGTATAAATTAGTAATTTACTTAAATAACGAAACAAACGCTGACATGTCAGCAAAACTTACATTTCTAAGGAAACACAGAGGGAGGACAGAACGTGACGCCATACAGGACAACCCATGGACAGGAACAATAAAGAAACGCAGAGTGTATGGACACTAACAAGGTGATGAACACAAACACCTGGGGAAGGACAACAGGTGTTAGAGGAGGTGCTGATCACAAGAGGGAGAAACACCGAGGAGAGCAGGACAGTTGACAGGAAATCACAAAAACACACACAGATCCTCTCGATATTTGAAGACTGGCCTTGTTTTAAGATGACAAAATGTAATTTGGTAGTGAGTCTGCTCGCCAGTATTAGCTCATTCATAGGGCATGAGTGTATCGACTTTCAAGGTGAGTTTACTCCTCTTCAAACAACTTCAATCTCTAAAGTTTCATCTTTAATGCAGATGGTGTTATTTAAACATTTACGCCTCTGTTGGTTTTATGTTAGTTATTCCAGCAGAAATCTTATTTTATTCCTGCTAGGAGTGCACAAGGCCGCACTGAAATCCTACAGCTTGTGCTGCTTTTTGCTTTTGGAAATAGCCATATATTTCTGTGTAATTAATCAAGTAATACAAAATCGACAGTGGTAAAAAGTCTGAAATACTGCTCACATTAGCCTCTAATAAACGTTTAAAGACTATGCTGTAGATGCAGCAGCAGTCCTATTGTTTTGTGTGCGTTTGACTCGGCTGATTGGTCTGGACAGAATTAAACTCTTATTTCTTCAAACTCCCATAAAGCTATTTACAACAGGTAAGATAGTGATTGTTCACAAATTCAATTTCTGTCAAGGGATCAAAAAAGTACATTTCCATTCTCTTCTAAAAATCCACATAATCCAACTTGTCAGAAATTTTACTTTAAATATCAGACGTGTGGCTGCACAGTGGCTCAGCTGGTAGAGCTGCCGCCTCTCATAAAGAAGGTCGCTGGGTCAAATCCCAGCCGGTGGGGGTGGTCATTCTGGGTGGCGTTTGCATGTTCTCTCCGTGCATGCGTGGGTTTTCTCCGGGTACTCCGGTTTCCTCCCACAGACCAAAAACATGCATGTTAGACTGATTGGTAACTCTAAATTATCCCTAGATGAGAGAGAGAGTGAATGGTTGTTTGTCTCTATGTGTCCCTGTGATGGACTGGAGACCTGTCCAGAGTGTCCCCCCCCTCTCGCACAGTGACTGCTGGACGTGGGCCCCATGACCCGAAAAAGAAGAAGCGTAAAAGATCAGATAAAATAAGAACTTTAAAGATCCCGCAGGAAATTGTTAGTTAATGGATGGACGCCAGACAGGTCAGAGAGGAGTGGTGCTGCTTGGCGCTACATGTGCCTGGAGGGGGACAAACGTCTCCGGTATCTTCATAAAAAGACATTTCAACAGTAAGAACAGCACGAGAGAAAATGTTTCTGGTTTTGATGCCAGACTTGAACACCATAGTCTACCTTGAAACCAGTAATCGGCTCATGCCTCACGCCCCACACAGACTCAGGTGTGAGCAAACAAACGGCACGTTAAAATTCTGCAAAACCCACGTCAGGCTTCTTAAACATCCTTTTTGCAGCTCTGCTAGCAGACATAACTCAGTTCAGAACCGCTACAGTAGCATGTGCATTGTTCAGTAAAGGAAACAGAAAGTGGCATGCATTAAAAATAAACAAAGCCGTGTTAACTTTGTGTTTTTGTTTGTTGGTAGTTTCACAAAAGCCTCTCTCCTTCATCACTGCCATTAACTGGTTGGAAAAAAAAATGAAATGCAATGTTGACGAAACGTTTTTAAAATTCTGCTTTTCTTTCGTCATTTGTAAAGAAATATCTTTCTTTGGTTATTCTGTAAAATCTTTAAAAAATGTGTCACACTTCTGCTTTTTGCACGCGCCACAAACACGTTCAGTGTGCACGTGTCAGCAGCCGTTTTTTTTACCCTTGTTTATATCTGCACTCGTGTGATCAGCGCAGTACGAAGAAGCCTGTAGTGTTTACATTGTTCAGTCCAGGAAACCCAAAACTTGGAACCATTTTATACTTCTAGAAATAAACTGTAATAATGGCTCCTTAATCGTAATTATTTTGAAGAAGTTGAAATTATTTCCCACAAAGTAGTTTTACACATACATTTAATATAAACACACTCCTGTGGAAACTACCAGAACATTAGTGTTTGAACAGTAACTGCATGGTGTGTGAATTAAAATCCCCCCCTCCATCCTTCCTCCCTGCACTCCCCCCAACTCCTCACAGGCTCGCTCTGCTCTGGCCTCTTCAGTGCCTCAGCCCTCGGGGTGTCCTGTAGCGCCCCCAACCTGCGGGATTACGTCCGCACGCACCACCACCACCGAAAGCCACCTCTGTCCCCCGGCAGTCTGCCATGCAAGATTGGCATGTTTGGTATGTTCACCGTGGTGTCGGTCCTCCACTGTGGGGCAGGTGTTTTCATCTCCACGCTTTCCCCCCCACCCCCAGCCTAAACGGTCTTTTTTAAACTTCCGCTGCTTCTCACCTAAACTTCAAAGAATTGATCTTTCAGAAAATTCTGCCCTCTTTTGGTGCTTTGCTTGATTTTTTTATTTTTAACCAAGGCTCCCCTCTTTTTTCCCCACCATTTTTTTTCTTCTCCAATACAGTTCAGCCATTTCACAAAGTTGTTTTGCTCCAGTGATTTCCTGTGTGCACAATGATGGATGACAGCTGTGTAGCTGATGCTGAGCATGCCAATGTACTGTATGCTGGAAAGTGTGATCCTCTATTATAATCAGTCATCAATGTTTCTCCACATCATTCTAACAGGGTTCCTACACAGTCCTAAAAAGTACAATTTATTTCAGTATTTTCCAGGTAAGTGTAGGAAAAAAAAAAGAAATAATCATGAAATGTGTTAATGCTTCCTGACTCTGTTACTTATTGCATTTACTACAAAAATCAAAATCTAACTTTTTAAAAGGTGTTCTAACAAGCCTGTTATATTTGTCCCCCATCGTGGAGCGACAAGGGGGATTTAGAAATATCCTCTGTCCATCTGTACACGTCATGAGCATAACTTCTAAAGTAAGTGAGGTACCAACTTCCATATACCGTATTTTCTGCCGTACCCGTCACACCTCCCTATAAGTCACATCAGTCCGAATGTGTCTAATAAAGTGGAAAAATCCATAAATATGTTGCGTCGTCGTATACGTTGCATCTATTATGCGTCACTGCTGACAACCCGGAAATGTGGTCCGGTGTTGTGCCAAAAATCAATTGGCTGCCAAATGGCGGCCGCAGGGACGTGCACGGGATGACTTTAACAAGAATTTAACAAGATTAACACTTAAAAATAATTATTTGTTTGTTCAAAATTATAGTAAAGGTGCGTCTCCGTCTAACTTTTACTTAAAAAATGCATTTCAATGGTCAAATCAGCTTCATTTTGCCGAGGCGGCGCAGCGAAATGAAGCTGATTTGACGGTTGCTCCAGGCAGACAACGGTGGCATGTTATGGCAAGCCGATTGTGTCATTAATAGCCACTTTACCTATTGCATGATACAACGGCATGCCGTACTACTCGACTGCCATCTAGCTGCTGAAAATGGTAGTGTTGAGTATTTTTAGTCAGAATGAATGAAAATGGTCATATCTCAGCCAAAACTTGGTTTAGAAATCATGGAGCAGTTTAAAATGGTAACATAATGAAAAACTCTTACAATAAATATGGGGAAAAATCCATAAATATGTCGCTTCTGCGTATAAGTCGCAGGGCATGTAAATTATGCAAAAAAACCTGTGACTTATAGGTTGAAAAATACAGTAGGTGTGTGGCTACATCTACGCGTAAGAAAGCAGTGTCCCCCCCTACCATTATACAAGCAGGGCGCCCCGCCATGTCAACAGAACCGAGCGCCTTGCCTACTGAATCGAACCAAACTCCACCCCCACTCCGTCGACATCTGCCAGCACTGACGTAGCGTTAAGCTAGTGGTGTACAATACAGACACGCTAGCTAAAAAGCTACAGTGGTAGCTCCCTGTTTCCCTCACACTGAGCCGATTCCTTCACCACCGCCGCCCCACTCGAAAACCGTCGGTTCAAACGGCAACACAGACGTGTCTCTGTGTCTCGACAAAAATCAAGGAAGAGATGAGCGCCCTTTCAAGGCAAGTAATGTAGAGGAAACACTGGAAAGGTTCCTTTCGAAAAATGGTTTGCCACTTCAAAATCCAAGATGGCTGCTGCCATATCATATTACCGAGCTGGATAACTTGAAAAATAAGCAACATGACGGCTTCTATTTTGATGTGTGGCTGCATCTTGGTGTAAAAAAGACCCCTATCAAAAATTGGGTTGCCATGTCAAAATCCAAGATGGCTGCCACCATGTTTATATGTAAACTGGCCACCCTGATAATTTGAGGAAACTATGCTTTCTAATTTTTATATTGTTTAAAAGTATAATTTCATCCAATAACTGAGGTGGCCAAGGCCACCATTAGCCACCCGCTGGCTCCGCCATTGTAAAATTGCTCCCTCCACTCGTCAGGATCTATCACTCTGCGCTGCCTCGATCAAGCAAAATAAATTAAATCCTACCGCTCTTCTTATGCTCAGTAGAAGACCTCCCCAAAAACATCAAGGTTTACTTTCATTCTCTGTTCAATTCCAGTCCAGAAAAACACTCATCTCAAAAACTACTAACGTTCACAGTTCAAATCGGAGAGCGGGGACATCAGAGCCTGAATGGAAACGATATGAAGGAAGAAGAAAGTGACCAAGATGCTACTTTTGATCAGATTACTAACGTCTGAAAGTTAAAATCAGGATCACAGATACTGCACTGCTTGCTTGAATAATATTTTTGTTGTAATGTCATCAAAAATGTAAAAAAGAAAAAACATTTAGCAGCCCGTTGCTAAAAAAAAATAATTCCAGTCATATCTGTATTTGATCCAAAATATTTTTGCTTGAAAAAATGCTAAAATGTAATATTTAAAAAGAAGAAATTAAAACAGAGCAGTGTTTAGGAAAACCAACGGTTCTTTCAGCTAGCTGTTTGTCCTCACTGATGCTTTGTAAAGTCGCAGAAAAATATCCTTAAGGAAAAAACTAATCCAATTATTTTACAACAGTAACTAGAAAAAAACCTAAACAGTTGCACTGTACAAATACAGTAAAACAACAAAACATGATGTTCTTTAAAGATGTTTTGATGTCAAAATGGCTCACAAAGCTCAGATTTATGTCTGGAAATGTACAGAAATTGAAAATGGACAGTGTGTAGAAACCCTGGTACGATCACATCCCTGTGGGCTTGGAGCCGTTCTCTGTGCATGTTGCCCCTCTGTGTGTGTCACATTACTTCAAAGAAATATACCAAAGATTTCAAAGATTGTATACCGTAATGTCCGGACTATAGAGCGCACCCAACTATACTAAATTTAAACAATTTTGTACAAATTTAAGCTGCTCTTGTAGCCGCGGGTCTTCACGTTGGAACATGATTTTTTACACTTTTAGTTAAATATGTACTGGTAACATACAGAAATACATGTAGTATTTATTTATATTTTTCTGAACAGTGCCTTTAACACGGCTGGTTTAAAAAAAAAAAAAAATACAGTAGGATGGGGAAGTTTAAGATCGTCTTCGTTGTACGTTTCCACACAATAGTTCTCTGCATTTAACCCATCACATGTGAGGTACACCCAGGTGGGGCAGTGGGCAGCTACGCAAGTTCCCCGGGGAGCGACTGGGGATTAAATGTCCTGCTCAGACATGTGGACATGGCTGGGAGTCGAACGCGACTCTCTGGTCCCAAGTCGGCTGCCCTACCTCTAGCTTACCAGGAAAAGTCATTGAACACCATCTTCATCTTCCTCCTTCAGTGTCAGAATTGAAGAGCCTCAGAAAAACTTCATCACACACGTCCTCAGTTTGTTTCGTTGTCAAACAATACAGTAGTTTACCAGGAGGACACTGATGCTGTCTTCATAGTTCTGCTGCAAGCTTGTGCACCGCAGAGCTAAAGTTATTCTGCCCATCCAGGGGAGTCCCCCCCCCTCACATGTTCTGTGCATGGGAAGGATTACCCCCCTTCCCTTTCTCTCCTCCCCGTTTCATTGGTTCGGCTGTGACCTGTCTGGTAATTTCATTGATCAGTTTTTTATTTTTTATTAAACTTTATTTATACAGGTAGTCTCACTGAGTCACGAGGACCCACCCCCCAATAGAGACGTGTGTTGGGCAGCTCTGCGAGTGCTCTGGTGCGATGAAGCTGAAGGTTTTTGGTGGCATGAAGCTCGTTAGCGCATCAAAAAAAAAAATCCATAAATTAGCCGCAGCATTGTATAAACCGCTGGGTTCAAAGCCTGTGGGAACAGTAGCAGCTTATAGTCCGGAAATTACGGTAATTCAAGCTAAAGTGAGGCCCCGATGCCGGGCTCTCTTGTCTTTTTATTTTTATTAATCAAATTTTGCAGTAATCTGTAAAGAAACTCGCCTTGTTTATTAACTGGAACTCTGTAATCCTCCTAAAAATAATCCACATTCTTCTCTTAATAGTTTACACCAGGCTGCTTATAGTGAGTTGGTCGGTTTATCAGGGCCTACTTACCCAAACTGCTCTTATCAGAAACGGTGGACGAAGACTTTAGCATCCTCAGGTTTAGTTTGTGGATTCAGATTAATGACCATGTGGACGTACGTCGTTATTTTCTGTGCAGATTAAATAAACCAAAAACACAGAGCTGCTCAGTGGAACCACTGGGTGTCACTCTGTAAAAACTGCCAGTAACGGTTGAATCGTGTCGTGCTGCTGCCTTGAAGACGGACGAAGGTTTGGATCCACGTCAGGGTTGTTTTGTTTAAGCAGCAGTACGAGCAGAAGAAGTGAAAAATACATTTCAGGTCTGAAGAGAACCCGCGGGCTTGTTGGTAAGTTTCCCTTCAACGGGTGTTTCTCAACCACCCATGATGGTCCTCACGAAAATAACGAATGACGTTTTAGTCGACAAAATTTTTGATTTTGTGTAGTTTTTTTGTTTATTTGTATGTATTTCTTTTGTTACACTTGTTTGATCTTTATATTAAAATATTTAATGAACTGGTAATATCTGTTCAAAGTGGCTGGCTAGTCTTTTATTTACTACTTTAATGCTTCGACAGTAAATATTTTTAGACGAGTAGAATTGCTGTAAAAATGAACCCACTGAAAAAGATCAGTCTCTCAGCTTTACGTGAATTAGGCCTTTTTTTTTTTTTAAATAAAGATTTTGTTTCAATAACAGCAGATTTGACACCCTTTGTAAAAAATGTATCTGAAACAGAACTATAATGAGTTGTCAGAACAATTTAAAACATTTATAGAGGCTTAAAATTTACTATGATGTTAATGTTTAGCTTGTTTCATTGTTTGTGCTGAGTAAAATGACATTTTTGATTGTCAGCCTGCAGGATGTATCTAGAGAGAACAAAAACTAATTTCTTTTAAGAAAGACGACCAACAAAGCTGCAAATACAACAAATATATTACATTTAAAAGAAAATTGTATTCAGCGTATACAAGTGGACCATGTTCCAAAAGCGTAGCAGCAAAAAATAAAAGCTAATAATTCAATGAAAAGTCAGTTTTTAAGCGCAAAGGAATTGTGGATATTCCAAGTGAATATATTTTACTAATAACCAAGATATAAAATGGGATGTTACAGTTTACATTTATAGCCTAATACAGGTGAATCTAAAAGAATTAGACTATTGTGATAAAGTTTGTCATTTCAGGAAGCGAAACTCGTTTATTACAAGATTAATTAAGCACAGATTGAAATATTTCAAGCCTTTATTTCTTGTCATTTTAATGATTTTAGATTACAAATAATGAAAAACCAAAAATCAGTGTCTCAGAAAATGAGATTATTGTGAAGAGGTTCAATATTGTAAACTCCTGGTGTTACAGCCGAATCAGCTGATTGACTCTGAGACATGAGCATCACATGTGGTACATGAGGTGGAATGGAATTGTGTACTCAAGGTCTCAGTTACGCCCAAAAATGGCAACGATATAAAGTATATTAAAGAAAAGAAGAAGCAGTATACAAGGATCTAAGATATACATTAAACAATAATAATGTAATATAATACGGTGTATTAAACAGCAGCCTGAACATGAGTCTGTTGTGAGCAGATGGGTATGAATACAGCAGCTTATGAGTCTAACAGCCTCAGGGTAGAAGCTGTTCCTCAGTCTAGTGGTTCTACACTTAATGCTCCTCAACCTCCTTCCTGAGGGGAGCAGGGCAAAAAGTGTGTGTGCTGGGTGAGTGTGGTCCTTCATGATGCAGGTGGCCCTCTTCCTGCATCTGGAGGTGTAGATGTCTGTGATGGTGGGGAGGCTGACTCCAACATCTTCTGTGCAGCCTTCACCACTCTCTGCAAAGCTTTTCTTTCTGCAGCTGTGCAGCCTCCATGCCACACATTGATGCTGGAGCACAGGATGCTCTCCACTGCACACCTGTAGAAGGAGGTGAGGACTGAGCTTCCCAGACCAGCTCGCCTCAGCCGCCTGAGGAAGTAGAGTCTCTGATGAGCTTTCTTCATCAGGCTGGTGGTGTTGTTGCTCCAGCTGAGGTTGTCATTCGTGCACACCCAAGTACTTGTAGCTGGAGACCACTTCCACCGCAGATCTTATGTTCGGGGGGTGTAGGTGAGTTTGTTTGTAAATCATAATCATCAAAATTACAATAAATAAAAGCTTAAAATATTTCACTGTGTAATGAATCTTTGTAATAAACGAGTTCCAGTTTCTGAAATGACTGACCCAAAAAAAAGAAACTTTTTCACCATATACATGTTTTTAAATGCTCCTGTAATTCATTGAATTGTGTTTGTACGTGAAGTTGTACGTTTGTGTGTTCCTTTTGTCTCTCTTGTTTGTGAGCTATAGATTTGACCACAACTATATTAAAAAAAAAAATCCCAGTCAACTTAAAACTGTTGAGATTATCGTTTTAAATATTTTTTTCTAAATTGTTTCTTTGATCTGCCGACACGTTGAACCACCCGAGGCCATTTTCCCATGAAGTGGTTCTCCGTAGCACAAATTTTTACTCTGGATGCTGTTGAGCAAACATTATTGATGAATTTACAGACCAACTGTCTGTTTTGTTCTGTTTTCTCTCCTCTATTTTTTTTAGTTAAGGTTACAAAACACTCGCAGGCCAACAGGTTGACACACATACCAGCAGCCCGCAGTAATCCCAGTTACCTTTCTTTTTCCTCAGAGCTGCTCTCTATGCCGGCAGTAAAGAGATTTTCTGTGTCGTTTGCCAGGCATCCGACCAATGGTATGTCTGCTTTTATTCAAGTATATCTCGACAATCCTCCAGCTTACCTGTTATCTTGCATGACCCTTTGGTGGGAAAACATTTTCCATGTTTTCTTTATTGGGGATTTGGACATTTTGACTGTGGTAATGTAATGACATGGAATTGGCTCCAAGAGTTTCTGTTTCATCACACAGCCTGGTGTTTGTGTTGTTGTCGGCCTTCACCTCTAACACCAACTGTTCTGCCTGCACATTTAAGTTTAATTTACCTTTCTGATCCTGCTGTTTGTTCACAACGTGCCTTTTGTGGGAATATATCTTCTCCCTCGGATGTATTTCCATACGTAGATAATCACTCATAGATAACCACCCATTAAAACTTGTTCCAATGTGCACTTTTTCTTGTTTTATATTGAATATTAAATGGTCTTTTTAATATCTGACTACACTCACAGATGTGTTTGACTGACTGCTCTCCAAGCACAAAGTAAAACGCTCATCGAAACTTTAAGATCACTGTTTTAAAGTGAGTCACGAATGCAAGAGTCCACACTTTTTCAGTTCTAGTTATTTATAAATCAGGATATAATAAAAGGATCTGATCTTTACCCGTTTCTAAACTATTCAACATGTCCATATACGTAAAAACCTACAATTAAAAGAGGGTGGACTTTATTTTCTTTTTTCAGCACAGGAAACAGTGGCTCAGAATAAATTGAGACAGAATTTAGTGGGAGAACTGGTTATTTAGATGAGTACTGGATCACTTGTAAGCTGTTCAAAAGGTTTAAACTATAAATGTACGTTTTATGCAAAAACACCAATTGAATTTGTTTGGTAATAGTTCAGTTATCCTGTTCCACTCGTCCCATTTTATAGAGATGAGATGTATATTTTTTTGCAGGGCGATACACATGGTCGATTCTAGAATCTGACTTTTTGGGGTGCTTAGCCCCCAGTACTGACGATGGCTCTTGGCTTGAACAACACACCCCATGGTGAGGTTTGTGAAGTGCAAAAGTTTACAGCACCTGGTATTCCTAGGCGGTCTCCCATCAAAGTACTAACCAGGCCTAACGCTGCTTAGCCTTCGAGATCAGACGAGGTCGAGCGTGTTCATGGTGGTATGACCGTAAACGAGGGGCTCGGTCACAAATAGGACTTTTTTAAAGGATCGTAGCAAACAAAAACTAAACTTATGCAACCAGAAGTTACAACATATATCTACATACAAAGCACAGCTAGCTTTAAGCACAGACCTGGGCATTGTACGGCCCCAGGGCCACATGCGGCCCTTTGGTTGACTCTGACCGGCCCCCGTAAGGGGAATTACAAAATACATATGTAAACAAATGAAGTTAACCAAATCCAGATATAGATCCTCTCTCAATGATGATGTCATCTTTGCTTCACATCTCCACCTCAGACCTTCAACCTGACTTTAACATTTCCGTTAAAGCCCAACAGAGACTAGACTTCTCTCACTAAACAAGAAAAAAGAACAGAAAAACACCAAATGAGATGTTTAGACTACAAATGTAGGCACGTAAAGAACCGGGACTCGAAATCACAGTTCAGTGACGATCACTATTATATGATGTTTCATAATATTTGGAGTACAAAGACAATATTGTGATATATTTACAAAGCTAAGAACTTTTTCCAGCACTATATAAAACTCAAAATAAGTTTTGAGGTGAATGTGACTGAAAATGATCATTAATATAACGTCACAAATGGTAAAAATGTTAACAGTTTACCATTGTACTGGGAAATTAAATTGAATAAATGACATTTTTTGTAAGGAAACCTCGCTTTTTCGTTGCTTAATCGTAACAAATACTCTTACCAGCTTGTTAAAACAGTGCTATGTACTGCTTTTAATAATGAAATACTATTAATATTATGCAGTATTGAGTTAAGTTGAAATCAGGTCTCTCTTGTAAATGAGTCCTCGAGGCTCAATGGGATTTACCTGTCTAAATAAAGGTTGAATGAAAAAGTCATTTGTGCCAGCCCTCCACAATATTTGCTGTTTCTCATGTGGCCCCATGGAAAAAATAATTGCCCATCCCTGTTTAAGCATATAATGCAATTTTGACAAAATAATGAAGGATTTACTTGCAGTTACCTTCCTGTTTATCACTGTTGTATTCAGCTGATCATGGAGACGGCCACCAGTCTTCATCCATCTTTGACATTTTTCCAGACTCCGTTTAGTTTGTTGAAATGTAACAAACTGTATTCCACCCTCTAATCTCTCAGGGTCTGAACTACATGTTCTCCACTGACAACGATGAACCATTTTTTTCTGATGATTTGTCACAAAATCCTTTCAAACACAACGCGTTCGTAATGTTGTCAGAGGAGAAGGGGATGCAGTTCTTGCAGGTAACGTGTGTTTCACGTCAGAACAAATTGAGATTGCTGATGGGTCAGTTGCTGACAAGCCTGCTGAACTGATTGACAAGTGGCGTAGAAGATCCGACTCGTGCAAAAAATTAAAAAAAAATCATAGATATTACTGGCCCATTTAAGTGTGTCATCATTTATTCCATATTTATTCCAAATTTATTCAATATTTTGGTGAATTTAAGGTTTGAGAACTAAGCTTCCTTACAAAATCCTAATGATGGTTTCTTTATTTTTCAGGGGTGCCAAGTTAAAATTGTGCTTGGGCAATTTGTTTCAGTCAGTAGGCACACAAAACATCCATACTAGACAAGACATTGAGACATTAAAATAACAGAGATCATCATTGTTCGTTGAGAAGCCTGATCCCTACAGGGATGAATGAGTTTTTCAGTTTGTTTGTCCAACATCTGGGCTGCGGATACCTGCATCCAGATGGAAGCAACCTGAACTCACCATGGAGTGGTGATCAGGATCTGCCAGAATCAGCACTGTTGGGAAACAAATTTTGGCCACAGGTATAAATGTTGTTGGTGAATTTACGTTTGCAACGACTGCTTTACTCTTTTCTCAGAGCCTATTTGGTGGCATTTTTTTGCTGTTAGCATTTACAGATCCATGCTAATGGAAGATACAGTGATGAAATAGGGCCTAAAAGGCACTGACGCAGTGATTTTACCTTTGACTTGCTCTTTTTATATAGTTTTACTTTCAGAATACATAAGTAATTGTGTAATTTATTCTTCATTTTGATGTTTTACTTCAAAAAATAAAACTTGTACCTGCCATGTGATAATAACACTGTAATAATGATAATTTGCTGCAAGGAAGGCATAAGTGTCACACTTTAGCAGAACAGATTGTGTATATTTACTGGAACACATCTGCAAGCTGTAAATTGTAAGAGTCGTGCGACAATGGCCGTGCAAGATTTTCTTGTTGTTTTTTTTTAATCTTTGCTTGTTTTGTGGGGGGTTTGTGTGTGTTTTTTGTGTTTTCAATAGGCTCATCATAGTCCTTCTGGAATATTATCATCTACACTTTATACCTGCATCGTTTGAGTCCAGAGGAATGTAATATTACCAAATGGTGATGATACCTTAAAACCCAGCAGATTTTTATTCATATGTCTTCTAGTACCTATAAAGCTCATCTACAGATGACACCAGGTGCACAAGCAGCAATCTAATGAAGTGTACCGTTAAAGCGTATAATTTTTCCGTCAGTCCTGGGCCCCGAAACTTCAAGCAACCCTTTACAAAACAATTCAGTTGCTCCAAATTCAATTTTGTGCATTATTTTTGTTTTATTAGTTTGCACATATGTTTGTGTGTAGACACACCTCAAGGCATAAAAGGTGTAATTTGGTGAAGGAAGTACCTGGTGCGTGGATCCATTTACCGTAGATGTGTTTTGTGCAGTCTCATGAAAAGATGGAAATAATATAATGAGGAGTTATTATGCTCAGTGAATCACCCTCTTTACACTCGCTCCCAATAATGATATTTTATGACTTCCGCTCCTGAAGGAGGAAAAAAAAGCAGTAGTTACTTGGCTTTGTATGGCCTCTTTGTCAAAAAAATAAATTTGCATAATTCAAGCAAGGGTACATGAAAGAAAAACAACGAATGGAACCGAGCTAAAGAGACAAGTTGTGTTAGTCTTGGATCGATCAGATGACTTACAGTATTTGTGCATTGCCACAAACAAATGCCCCAAACCAGTTTCTTCTATAGATGACACAAATCTAAAAGTTGTATCAGACTTTGGCTGTTTCGCAACCCTCGAACATTAAATACGATTACAACATTTAGATTCCAAAGTGGTAGAAATTAAATGAAACTGCACTTGTTAAAAGGTTTTGTGAATGATTGCAATGACTCACAGTATCAGAGCAAAGTTGACTGTACAGGCACACTGCTGGTCCCGTTTCATTAGGGTGTGGTACATCTTTGGGCCTTTAAACAAGCAGCAATTCTCCAGTGTGGAATAGTCATACAGCTGTGTCCTCCTCTGCAACAAGTCGTTCCACATCTGTTGTAATTGGACCTCCAGAGCCAGCAGTTCAGCACCTGGATCTGTGTTGACATCGGAGCTAACCCTAAAGATCGGGGACCTGGTTGACAATGTCTGAACCTCAACACGATGTGACATGACGAGGACTGGCCTTATCTTATTGAAAGACTGTACCAGAGTGCTGCCAAGTGCCGCTAGGGGTAAGGTGTAGGATAGAAAGCGAACATAGGATGTCATCGGCATAGAGTTGCACCATCAGGGTACTCTGACCCACTGCCAGAGGTGATCTGAAGACATATTCTGTGACTCCCCACATCAGGTTTGCTAGGATTGATGCTGGTGTGTTTCTCCACACCAGTAGCTGGATTGGTTCTCTCCACCATACATGCATGTGATGGTCATTTGTGGCTATGTACCAAAATTAATTACCAAACATGACATAATATGACATCACTCATATTCAGTCAGTTCATCACACCAAAAGTAGCCATCTCTGGTCTGTTGTTAACGGTAGCCTCGTCATGGGAAACTGAACCCACAGCTCAACTGGTGCCAGTCATCAAGACACAACAGGGAATGTTACTGAGGTGT